GCCAGGGGGAGGAAACCTACTAATTTGTAGCACCTTTGAGTATTTGCTGTGCTTGGGGCAAGTATTCTCCAACAAGGTCAGAATCTTACACTCAAGGAAGGAAACTCAGTGGTGAGATTCTGGGAGTCACCAAAAAGCAGAGGAGAAGACGACCTTTGAGCAGAAGCTGTCAGCCCTTCTTGGTCATGACTCTCTTTCCCCACTCCTTAGGCCCTTCCTCCTTTTAGAATTCACTCTGTTGCCCTCTGTCTGCACCTTGACTCCCAATTTCGCAGACACAGTTGGTAGAAAATCCATTAAAAAAAAAACAAACTTGTGCCCATCAGTGACGGACTGGATAAAGAAAATGTGGTACGTACACACCATGGAATACTATGCAGCCATAAAAAGGAACTAGATTATGTCCTTTGCAGGAACATGGATGGATCTGGAAGTCATTGTCCTCAGCAAACTAACACAGGAACAGAAAACCAAACATCACATGTTCTCACGTACAAGTGGGAGCTGAACAATGAGATCACATGAACACAGGGTGGGGAACAGCACACACTGGGGCCTGTCAGGGGTGGGGTAAGGGGAGGGAGAGCATCAGGATAAATAGCTAATACATGTGGGGCTTAACACCTAGGTGATGGGTTGATAGGTGCAGCAAACAGCATGGCACACATTTACCTGTGTACAGAACCTGCATGTCCTGCACGTGTATCCCAGAACTTAAAATAAAATAAAATATTTAAAAACTGGGTACTTTAATTATATCATAATCTCCAGGTTATGCAGAACCTTTCTTCCTTGGGGAATTTCCTTTCTAGGCTGGGGATGGTGATTTCCCCAGAATGGTTACCACTGGTTACCAGAGAGCTGCTCAGCCTCACACTCAGCATCACCTCTAATAGGGACAACCAATGTGAGAGGTGAGAGGAACAAAATGAGAAACTTTCTCCCCTATTTGGCTGCTGAACTGTTAGCCCTGTGTTAGTCAGCTTGGGCTGTCACAACCAAATACCATTGAGTGGGTGACTTAACCCACATTTTTTTTTAAGACAGTCTTGCTCTGTTGCCTAGACCAGGGTGCAGTGGCATGATCTCGGCTCACTGCAATCTCCACCTCCCAGGTTCAAGCAATTCTTCTGCCTCAGACTCCCGAGTAGCTGGGATTACAGGCACCTGCCACCAGGTGGGGTTTTTGTATTTTCAGTAGAGATGGGGTTTCACCATGTTGGCCAGGCTGGTTTTGAACTCCTGACCTCAAGTGATCTGCCTGCCTTGGCCTCCCAAAGTGCTGGGATTACAGGCATGAGCCACTGTGCCCAGCCCAGACATGTATTTTCCCACAGTTTTGGAGGCTGGATACCAGCGTTGTTGGTTTCCAGTGAGGCCTCTCTTTCTGATTTGTAGGTAGCCACCATCTTGCTGTGTGCTCATAAGACCTGTTCTTTGTGCATGAGAGAGATAGAGAGGGAGAGAGAGACAGAATAAGCATAAGTGCTCTAGTGTCTCTTCTTATAAGGACACCAATGCTGTTGGATCAGGGCCCCATCCTTGTGACTTTATTTAACCGAAATTACTTCCTTAGAAGCCCTGTCTCCAAATACAGCTCCACTGGGAGTTGGGGCTTCAATGTATGAATTTCAAAGCAACCCAAACATTCAGTCTGTAAGAATACCAATAAATCACTTTTGTTTTCTTTTCTTTTTTGTAATAAATCACTTTTTAAAAACCTAATAACATTAATATTTTATCTGATTATAAGTGTAATACATGTGCATTGTGAAAAATTTGGAATAAAACAAAAATAAAAATCATTCATTATCCCATGAAGAAGATGAAATGTAACAAACAAATGAGTCTTACTAAGATCTGAGTGATAATAGCATTGTGTATTCATCTGTGCGTGTGTGTGCACATGCCACATTTGCCTGCTTGTTCAGAAATCTCGGAGAACTGCAGGGTTTGTGGATTGTATAAAGATTATGCAAGCCCATCAAAGAGAGCTTTTGTTTGTATGCAACTCATGTAAAAGTAAATATTCCATAACTGCTGTGTAAAATGCAAAGAAGAAAACCTGAAATGATGGCTATTGGCCAACATACAGATTATGCTCCACTGTCTTATAATATTTTCTCTGCATTGCTTTTTAAAACATTTTTCATATTACATGCCCCATCTCATATCACATTAACCCAAATAAAAATGTCATTATCCATTCAGTTCAACAGACAGCAGGCAGAGTATAGCAGAAAATTACAGTCACGCCAGGCAGCAACAAAGGATTCTAGTCAAAAGCACGTAAAAGACCTGATGGTGGGCAGCTGGCCTGAGCTCCCTTTTGCACTGTCCAGGAATATGTTTGGATTCAGAATGAGTGGACCCTTCTTTATACACAGGGCATGCCTCTGAAGAGTTGTGTGTAAATCACATTTTATGTTGCATCTCTTTTGTTCTGTTAAGAAAGCTTCAAGCTTGATATCTAAAGAGACTTTCTTTCAAAGAGTGTGTGTCTGCATGTATATATATATATATATACATGCACACACACACATATATATATATCATGCTACTATTCCTCCGAAATAAATCTAAAAGGAATTTTGTTAAACTAGGGTTCGCTTGTACCGCTGAACTTATTAAGATAATTGAAGGAAGATAGCCAGCGAAGCTAGTCTACTAGTCAGAAAAATGTGGCTTAAACTCTACTGACTTCTCCAACATTAAGGGTAGCCTAAGACTTCTTGGAAGTTGGGGCCCAGAGGCCATTTTAAGTGACCCATTTATATGCCCTTTTGTACTGATGGATTATTAAATGGATGATTTGTGAGAATTTAAAAAAGCATGCAGTAGTCATGAAGCATCAACATAAAGATACTAAGAATAAATCAAGATAGTCATACTTATTTTTCTTTTTTGAGTTGACTTCCAGATAAGTAGATGAGGTAAATCACATTTCTGTTTCTGCAAATCATTTGACAGTCTTCCCCAGCTGACTCATCGGTAAAGTGGTGCCTGGCTGAGTGCTTACTTAGGTTCAGGTACAGGTAGGCCAAGAGCCTAAAGCAGCGATGATGCATGATTCTGTGGCTACCTAAAATAGCTGTCCAGTGGATGGCCACACCAGCAGCACCCGGGCCTGTCTACAGACCGATGAACCGAAGAAAGGCTTAGAAGGCACACTTAACTAAATTTCACATAGAACAAAGAAAGAGTAGCCAGTATTGCAGGTGATGGGATTTTTTTTTTTTTTTTTTTTTTTTTTTTTTTTTTTTCTTAAACATTTTTTTTTAAAGTAAATTAGAAAG